GAGCCGAAAGGATCGATTTGAAGGTTTTTTGATGCTAGAACTACAATTTTTAATGAGTTACAAGGTGAGGCTTTATTCATTTTGACAGAGCTACAACCCTATCAAACCATTTTCCTTTATGATATTTGAAGCATATTTACATATATCTTTTGAAATTACGTCCATTGTGCTTATTCATGGTCCCATCGCCCATCAAGCTTATATGCAATTGTCTCTACTTGACTTTGTTTATTTTATGCCTTGAGATTAATCCTTGTCTTCTTCTTTTTGAGAAACATTTACATTTAATTACTCATTAATCATCAGTTACAACAACTATGAGTCAAAAGGCCCTTACAAAGAAGAAAAACCAAAAAAACAAATTAAAAGAAAACTACAACTTGAAAACCGTTCAATCAATCATAAGAGATTCAACCGAGACCCCCATCTTTGCCAATCTATCGGCCTCCATATTGCATTCCCTATATACATGAACAAACTTCACCACCATACTATAGCATATCTCAATTGTCTCCCTAACCAGTTCGTAAAAGGCCCAGGGGTAATCCATCTCCTTTTTTAGCCATTTTATCACATTCATAGAGTCTCCCTCAACAAATGACTGGTTTATTAAACCTCTTAGCCAAATTAACTCCTTGCAACACAGATTTAACTCTGCCTTATTTATAATAATCCGTCTTGCTGGTCCATAATATTTAAACATCACATTGCCCATCAAAATTTAATTTCAACCTCCCATTTTTTGGAAACTGCCATATACCCACCTTGGTTTTCTTTCTACTTGTCTCCTTAAGTGACATATATCCAATCTAGCTGCCCCCACTAGTCATCTTTGATTCTTAACCAGTCTGCCACTGTGGTTCTAAATTTTCAATCACTTCAGTCCCTGTTTTGGTTAAGTCCTCAAAACAATGTCTATTTCATTCCTTCCAGATCTGTCATAGAATAGTTGCTCTAACTACATTCCAAACGATTTTCCTTTTCTTCCAATACCTGTTATTTCCCACCCATATAACAAATTCTCAACTTGCATTGGAAGGTCCTCATGGATGCCCAGCCATGTAACACTTCATTGCCGAACAAAACAAGCACAACCACAACTAATCAACAAGTGATCAACAGTTTCTTCTGCACCTTAATAAAGGATACAAACATTGGGTAATATCTTTCCATGCTTCCTCAACAGTTCCACATGCAACACAATTTTAAGTTCAACACCCATATAAAGGGTCGAACTTTTAGAGGAATATGCAATTTCCAGATTTTCACTAGATCCCCATTTTTCCAACAAATACGATCTTCATAAAACAGTTTGTAAGCATATTTTTACCAAGAAAATCCCATTTTTAGTTAGTTCCCATACGCATTTATCTTTCTCCGTCGGACAGTGAAATATTTTTGCAACATTTCTTAATATTGAATATATTCATTTGTTACCACATTATCAACCTTTTTATATATACATTGAATGTTCCAAACTACATTTAAACTTTTTGCCTCCACCATTTCACTAACCATCTTACTCTTAGAGTTAACTTTGACAAATAGACGTGGGAATTGGTACTTTAAAGGCCGATCTCCAATCCATCTAGATTAATCCTGGTCTTCAATCATAAATCTCCCAAGTGTGTTTGGTCCTTGAATTATCGGACACCCAACATAAATGTTGAATGTTTACTGTAGAACTATATCTGGATGAGGGCAACACCGAACTCTAGCAAAGGTTTAGCAATTATATCTGGGTGAGGGCAACACCGAACTCTAACGAAGGGTTATTTTTTCAGCTTTGAGCAATGTGATGAATAAGAAGAGTAAGAGAAGCATCATGGAGAATTTATTGACCAAATTCTCCGAGTAGGGAATGTCAATGAGTTTGGAGTACGAGTGAAGGAGGATTTTATGGTACATGGGCTGTTCTCAAAATCGTTGAAATAGGGGTGGCAATGGACTCGACTAAACCTGGGATCCGATGGGTAGACCTGGCCTTGGGTCTGGCTATGGGTTCAAATTTGAATCCAAATACTATTCGGGTCCGGGTCTTGCCTGACCCGACCTATTGGAAGATTTGCTCCTAAACTGTGTGCAGTATTTGTAATTTTTATCCTTTTGTAACTTCTTATCTCCACAACTCCACAATCCCACAAAAATTGGGATGTCACACTTGTAATTTATGTAAACCATATAAATGATTAGAATGGATAACAACTTTCTCTTTTCTAATTTTCCTTAACGCGACTCGTACCCGACCTGTTGCCGCCCCTAGTTGAAACCACTAAGTATATTTTTGTGTGCGAGTTGTAGGCTCGGTAACTCTCTCTTTTGTCATTTAACTCATATGTGATATTTGAAAGTGATTTTCTTTTTGTGATGACAGTTTTTTAGATTAATTTTTAAAATAGTTATTTGCACTAAAGATATGAGTTATACATGAGAAAAAAAACACAACTAAAGAGAAGCAACAAAGCTACTATGAGAGAGAGAGAGAGAGAGAGAGAGAGAGAGAGAGAGAGAGAGAGAGAGAGAGAGAGAGAGAG